CCAGACAATTCCTAAACAGAATACCAATGGGTCAGGTTCTAAGATCAAAAATTTATAAATGGGACCTTATAAAACTGTAAAGCTAAGGACACTGTCAATGGGACAAAAAAGCAGCCTACAGATTGGGAAAAGATCTTTATTAACCTTACATTCAATAGAGGGTTCATATACAAAATATATAAAGAACTCAAAATGTTAGACTCCAAAAAACCAAATGACACAATTAAAAATGGGATACAGTGCTAAACACAGAATTCTCAACAGAGAAATATCCACTTGCTGAGAAGCATTTAAAGAAATGTTCAACATCCTTACTTATCAGGAAAATGCAAATCAAACCACTCTGAGATTTTTACCTTACACCAACCAGAATGGCTAAGATCAAAAATTTAAGTGACAGCACATTCTGGCAAGGTCGTGGAGAAAGAGAAATGTAGTGAGATATTTTCCCACCACATTATATTTGTAGTAAATCTCAGTGATTGGGCAGTATGAGAGGTAGGTGGAATGAGGAGTTGGGAGGAGAGAAGGAGAGGAAGGGGAGGAAAAAAAAGAGGAGAACGAGAGAAGATGGCTGTGGATGTATGTGTGTCTCTAGCAGTCGAAGGTAGTTATACTATCTAGGTTAGATAATTGGGTAACAATTATAATTGTGCGAGCATCTAGTTAATTGAACATTTCCAAATATATAAATCTATTGGCTAATCTTTAAGCATTAAGAGTCTATATTCTATTGCGTACAATGAGTATGGCAGATATGATCAGGGGCTCAGTCGAGCTGTGAGGCCAGTGTGGTGGATTGACAAAGCCATCTGCCACCCTTGAGTCTTGTGGGTGCTAGAGCTGGTGCTTCTAGCTAACCAGAGCCACAGTCTGAGTGAGAATAGTGGGAACATGCTGGCTGCCCAGGAATGCTGTTTATTAAATATCTTGTTTCAGGTGGCACACCAACTTTGACCACGAATTCACTAGAAATTTAAGATTATTTACGTGAGAGCTATAGTTGTATTTTTTTCTTTAAAAAAAAAATAAAATGAATGAATGAGTAGCCCTGAGACTAGTCTCGTGACTCCAGAGCAGGAACTTTTAAACAAGAAACTGCTTGCAGGCAGAGGTCCCCTGCTGTGAGAAATTGCTGGCGGATTTTTAGGAAAAAAAAGAATCAAGTAACCTACTTGTAGGACAGAGAGATTATTTGCTTTTAAGAAAGAATTATAAACAGTTTTGTCCAATTCACGTGGGTTATCTAGCCCATGGTTCAGAACAAAGATAGGTAGAGAAAAGTTGTGGTTCTAGGAAGAGACCTACAGTTTAACATAGTTGGCTGCTCTGAGTCAGAAAGCCAAATGAAAAAGCCTCTGTATTGGGGCAAATATTGATTTAACTGTGAATTTATAATATAGAAACTACCTTTAGGAAGAATTTATAAACAGATTTGTCCGATTCACGTGGGGAATTTTGCCTGCAGTTCAGAACTAGGATAGAGCAAATTAGTCACTGAATCTTGGTAGAGAGTACAGTGTATAAATACAGACTGCTCTGGGCAGAATGCCAAATATAGAGGTGTGAGTCAGTTGTATTAAGATGGTATAAAGTTATATTGCTTGAATATGCCTCACAGGATACTTGGGTTCTGTCTAACATGGGCCTCATGGGAATTGTGGGTTTAAATCCTGCTTGGCAAAATAGGAAAGCCCTGAAAATAGGCATATACAGTACTGTAGTTACATTTGTTTTAGATTGATTTAATTTTCAAAATGGGTGTGATTTTCAGTTTTGTTCCAGTTTTTCCTCTGGAAAAAAAGGTCAAGATAAAGGTTTTTCTGGTTACTGGCTCAAGGATATGATTTGGGGAAAAGGTTTTGTCTGTTTGTTTTTAGAAAAGATAATTTGGGTATTTATATGGATCAGACATGACAGAGGTAGGCATCCTGAAGACTAGATTCCAGAGAATCAAACAAAACATTATCTTGATGATACTAAAATTTGTTTTGAGATTTGTATATTACTGAATATACAGCCTTGGTGGATCTCATTATCAGATATGCTGAACTGATCTGCTTGAACTCCTGATGTCCTGGACTTCCAGCTGGATTCAGTTAAGACAGACATCAGAGGCTTATCAATCACTGGTATGGTCTTCTTAAGGCCAACTAACTCCCCTATTTACTCTTCTCCACACCCCTCTTCAACTATCTCGATGCCCAGATTTAGTTTGAAGAAGTTATGAAGAGTCGACACCCCAACTCCCTGGGCTTGGGGGCTGAGGTTATTATTATTAGGCTGTCTTTCTAGGGAAAAGTAATGGTTTTTATTAGAACAGGGAAGAAGAGCTAGAATTGATTGCATAACCATATCTATTGGTAGAAATCTGTATAATTGTTACTAAGCTGAAGTCATAATTTCTTAGATGGTCCAAAATTTATTTTGATACAAATTCAAGGGTTTCATTGGTATAATTTCTTCTATTAATTAAAAATTTTGTGGTTACAAGGCTTAGACCCAGTCCTTCTTTAACATTTTTAACTGATCTGAGACAATTAAGCAATGTGAGTTAAGAGACTATAACAAATTCATGGCTCTGAGTTTATTGTTAGGGTGTTTTTTAGATTTTAATTAGAAATACCTGTCAGGTATTAACTGACAAGTGTTCAGATTGCTTTACATAGATAGTTGGTTTTCAAAAATGTCAGAAGTCCACAGAATTGATGGCACAGACATTTCTTTATAAAGATCATTTGATTAAAGACCTGTCTGCTCCTGACAGCTTCCCTGTCTTAGATTCTAAGAAGAAATTGAACATCTTTGGAGTCACTCCAGTTGTGATGAGACAGCCACTAGGCAAAAATTGCCTCTTTTCATCTACAGACAAAATACTGTCTAGAAAAAGGACACATTTGCAGAATAGTAGACTGACTATATCTGCCAAGACAGAGTGATCAGCCCTTAAATATTCTGCATTATATGTCTGTTAAATGATCCTGGGCCAAAAGGCTGAAGATCAGATGCTCCAACGTTTTGAAGTATAACATTTTGACTGTCCAGGTAATCAGAGGTCTTATATTTTAGTTAGGTTTTAGAAGCTATTCTTTGTACTTCCCACATTTTCAGTTAATTAATTAATTCTGAATTTCTGAAGAAATTGAAGACATATAGTCTCATAGCCAACACAGGCTATTTATTTAGAGACAAATTTGAGAGGATGGTTTTCAGACGGCATTCATTCTAAACCGGGACTTAAGCCAGGTACAGAACTATAGTAGGTCTATCCTGTACCTTACAATAACATTATGACAATAGTTGTGCTCAATTTATATCTGAGATAAAAGAGTCTTTCAATTGGACAGAAAGAAGGAAAAGTTTTTTTTTATTCTAATAAGAAGGGTGATATGTAGTGGGATATTTTCCCACTACATTATATTTGCAGTAAAGCTCGGTGATTGGGCAGTATGAGAGGAAGGCGGAGTGAGGAGTTGGGAGGAGAGAAGGAGAAGAAGGGGAAGAAGAAAGAAAGAGGAAGAGGAGGAGGAGGAGGAGGAGGAGGAGGAGGAGGAGGAGGAGAGAAGATTGCTGCAGATGTACATGTATCAAAGGTAGTTACACTATCTAGGTTAGATAATTGGGTAGCAATTCTAATTGTGCAAGCACCTTGTTAATTGAGCATTTCCAAATATATAAATCTATTGGGTAATCTTTAAGCATTAAGGGCTTTCATTCTACTGGGTACCACGAGTATGGTGGATATTATCAGGGGCTCAACCGAGCTTTGTGGCATCAACATGGTGGATTGGCAATCTTGTGGGTACCAGGGCCAGCACTTCTAGCTAACCAGAGCCACCGTCTGAGCAAGAACAGCAGGAATATGGTGGCTGACAGGGAACAAGCTGGACTGGGTGCCGTTTATTAAATATTACCCATTTCAGAGGAACACTCCTCCATTGCTAGTGGGATTCCAAACTTGTACAACCACTCTGGAAAGCACTCTGGCAGTTCCTCAGAAAATTGGAAATAGTTCTACTTGAAGACCTAGTTATCTTGCTTCTGGTCATATACTCAAATATTCTCCACCATATCACAGGGACACATACTCTACATAATCATGGGAGGCAGACTGAGGGATCTGGGTGGGACAGGGGAGAGTGAAAGGATAAGTGGGCAAGATCTGATATGGGGAGAAAGGAAAGAAGCCCAGAGGGCCAGAAGAATGAAATAAAATATGCAGCTGCTGGAGTGGAGGTTGGGGAAACTCTAGACAGTGGGATAACTAGATTCTTCTGTTTGCCCTTCCCCAAGATATGGGACCATTGTAGTCACTTCAATTACAGTAGGTAGCTATTGAATACTCACCATTTTCTCTAAAATAGGTACTCTTGTATAGAAATGATTCCATTTCTCATTTTTAAGTAATAAAATAGAACTTACAAATATTAATGAGCATTACCTACTTACTGTCACAAAACAAGTCAGTGGTCAAGTAAAACTTACATTTGACTCAGACATCAGCATCCAAGCCTTTCCACTGTATTTTGATGTCTCTATCTCCTGTCAGAAAAACTCATAGCCTTACAAGTTAGTGAGCTTTGCCTTCAGGGATTGGAAAGAACCCATTCTGTTATTTGATGTTGGTTTTAGAATAACCCCACTTATCTGATGTCCACTGGAAACTTCCACAAATCTTTTCATCTATGCCGCTTCCTCCTTGTGTAATCTGTAAAGAGCACTAGTGAGTAGAACTGGCCTGAGAAAAGCCAAGGTTCTCCTAAGGGGCACTGAACCTCTTCTTGGACTGATCAAAGTAGGCTGAAGGAGAAGGCAAACACAATGTCAATATTTCCTGTCATTCCCTCCCAAGCTCTTTATTCTTATCTAAAAAGACCCCAAGGGGCTCTTGGTTACTTCTGCCAGAATCTATCTTGAAATTTAGCACCAAAGTACTGGCACTAGATTGAGGAGAATCCAAGCCTTACTAGAGGTAATCACTGAAGAAATCAATGCCTTACCTTGGTAAATGTGACATTCACAGATCCACCCTGGAAATTCAAGAAGAGGTTGGATTTTTGGAACCCACATTTCCCAAATGCATGTGTTAAGCTAGGGTCAATGTTGAAGTTTCTCTGGGTTGCAGAATCCTGAACCAAATAAGATAAATCCAATCAGTAAGGGACAGAAGAAAAAATCAAGCCAGAAGTATAGGCTATTAAATGAGTAAGTGGATATTCACTTAAAAAAAAAACACAAACTCTCCAGTTGTATGGCATCATTTTACTTTCAAGTATATGTTTAAAGGCTTTCTTAAAAGAAACTCCCCCCATATTAGGACGTTTTAATGGGTAACTAATAGGAAGCAAACTTCATGAAATCAAAATTTTGTTCAGTTCAATGTACAGAAAGGTGATGGAGATAAGAGTTTGGACTCTAAGGTACTTCTGTATCAAACATGGATGTAAGTTTTCTTTGGTTAAACACTATGAAAAATAATAGTTTATTATGACCCCTTTATAAATAAAATACTTTATATAACCCCTTTCCAAAATCTTGTTAATTTAGATTTTTATATTAATATTACAATGGGCTAGAACCAGGAGAATATCAGATTCCAATAACTCATGTCAGAAAGGAACTCGCTAATTACAGAGGAACAAGGACAGGCTGTGATTGTCATCCAATATTGCTAATATTGCCAGTGCTGGCTCCAAGTGGGATTCACATTGAAGTTCTTCTTGCTTTCTCTATTTATTTTAACTTATCTTCTGGAACACGTTTCTTATGATAGCCAACACTGGAAAGATGAACCCACAGCTACCTGTCTCACCTAAAGACACAGTGTAGAGAACTTAGCAAGACAACTTCAGTCAGACTTTGAAGACAGCCTTATTGTTCTATGATCCCCAACTTACCAAATCTTTTTCTTGAACAATCAGTGTTATTCCCATCTCTGCCTTTATACAGAGCCTGCTTCCATTTAGAACTTCATAAGTTCCAATCTTGGCTGGTGATGCCCAAGTTAAAAGAGTGGGCCTAGGAACTAGAGGTACAGGTGAGGTTGTTGATCTGTACTTGTGTGTAGGTGGTGATGTTCCTGAGACATTAGTGGATAGAGTTGGCCTCTGGCTGGTTGTGCTTTTATGTGATGCTGTGAAAAATGTTTTAAGAAGGGTAGTCTGATCACCAAGTTGGGTAGTTCTCCCAGTTATATGGTTGACAGTGGCTAGACTAGCTCTGATTGTAGGAATTGGTAAATGTGCAATTGAGCCAGAGCCAATGGTATCTTCAGTAGATGAAGAAGCTATATGTGAGTTGTTAGATCTGACAAAGTTGTAGGTAGCTGAGCTGATGGGTAGAAGGCTCTTTGTTGTTACTGGGATTGCTGTTTTCATTGTTAGGTGGGCTGTGTTTTCAAAGGTGGAAGTTTCAACAGCCATTTGAATGTAATCATCTTTGGACCTTTCTGCTAAAGTTACATGAAATGTTTGGTTAATCAGTTGTAATGGAGGCTTGGTTATGGTCTGTTCTGTTGCGGTTGCAGTATATTGAAGGTAGCCTCTGACTTTTGGAAATTCTTTTTCTCTTACTTGATAGCCATATAAAATTCCTGCAAATTAAAAAAGCAGAAGTATTATAAGCAGTGACCAAATGCTTAAAAGATCCTGCCCCCATCTTCAATTTAACGTGCACATTAGTAAACTGACATATACAGCTTCAAGTCTAGGGAAAACTTTCAAGGGTTTCAATAATAAAGTGAAGATCACCAAAGATCACCAGGCCATTACTGTGGTATTTTGACTTGTACCTGTGTTCTTTACATGTTTATGATCGCATGGCAAATGGTTGCATGTAAACAAACATAGGTTAGGGTACCAATGCACACTGAAGCAATCACATTCAACTGTGAAACAAAGAGGAAGTCATAAAGTGCTCCAAGGTCATAAAGAGCAGCTATAACAACTTCATAGACTGAGGCAGCATAGAGTTATAACATTTTATATTTTCATTGAAACATGTAATTTTAAATTTTGAAGAAGTCTCACAAGCCATTTAGTGTAAACCATAATCTAATGGATAAATTGTGGCTAATTGATACATATTCATGCAGTCTTTACTTAACTACTCCTGATCATAAGAGAATATTTTCTTGCAAGATATTCCCCTCCACATTCTTTTTCTAAATATAAGCCAACTTCTATTATTTTCTAAATCTTTTGAGCTATATAGTCTTTATTAACTAAGAAAAATCAAGGTTCAATTTCTCTGGTCCTACATGATTTGGTTTAATTGCCAGCTCTTCAGAGTATCTTCCCTTGTCCTCCTTATAGTCAATAGCCTCTATCTCCATGGTTCTCCATCTCAGTGATAAATTCATTGTTTGACTTCACCTATCACATTTTGTACTCACATGTGGGGATAGTATAAAAACATTTTGTGATCACATTGCCAGTAGGAATGAGTACAATTTCATTCTTAAAAAATCTTTACTTACTAGTGTATTTCTTGGTTATACAACTCATCCACTAAATTAAAAGCTTAAAATTAAAGATCATGTGTATAGTTTTCACAAGTGCCTATGCATAAAAAGTGTTCAGCAAATATGAGTTGGATATGTGAGTAAAAAAGAACAACACCCTTAAAGACATTCTAGAATTATTAGAAAGTTTGAGCAAGTTGTTTTCAGTGAGCACCGTCAGGACCATTGAATATATAGTGTCTACTGTTGTCACAAATTGTCTCCATGGATATCCTTTAAGGAATTAAAGACTGCTGTCTCTCTTTCATCCAGATTCTATCCTTGCCTCTTTTTAGGCACATGTAAGTCCAGAAAAGTAGACAAAATTCTTAAACTGGTCCTTGGAAACTCTTTGATGAGGTGTGCTGGCAACCAGCTCTATCCATTCAAACTTCATTAGTTATATTTTATTTACTCAGACATTTATAGGAACTGTAGTAGCTAGGTTCTGGGATGAGACTTGAGAAAAAAGAACATGGCTCTACTGGCATTTATGACATCCTCAAGTTCATAACTGTCAGTATGATCTGTATGTATCTTTAGGTCTCCTTCTTGGATTCAATACATTTTAAGTGGTTAATTGTTCTGTATTGATAGGTAACAGCAAGGCTTTTGGCACTTTTGCAACCAAGATCAAACTCAATATATGGTGGCCCAACACTGGACTACTAAGTTACATTCCTTAGCCTTAAAACTTTCAAATTACTGGAATTTTATTACATGGAAAATTTAATCCCTATAGCCCTCCCTGTCTCACCTTTGATCCAGGATATACATATGCACTTAGATTTAAGAGAACTAGATAAAGAATGGCCACCACAGAAATGGAGAGTGTCACTTACCAACCAGGGACAGGAAGAGTATAGCTACTGCAGAGGTCTGTCCAGGCATGACAGATGAGGTTAGTCTACTGCTGTTGTGGGCTTGGGTCTTCTGAACAGTAGGAATGGAGTCAATTTCAGAGCAGATCCACAGAAACACCAAGGAATATCAAGCTCCTTGTATCTCATCCACTTGTGGCAGGAAAAATGATCTCATATCATGAGAGGTAGCTAATAGAGCTAAACATTGTTCTGTACCATGAGGAAAGCCACAGGTACCTCATAGTGGAAAGTAAACATTTACCTCTTCCTGGAGTGTTTGAAAGAGGTAAAGGTATTTGTGGGGGCTGGTTAGGGTAAAAGGCAATAGAAATTATTTCTTCAGGAAAGGTTACAGATCTCAGGAAGCTCCTTCCTTTATGAGATGGGCCTCCTCTTTAATACCTTGAGGCCATTTCTGTAAATTCTTGCCAGCCACTCTCTCAAGCACAAAGTTGTAGAATCGTTCTAAAACACTTTCTATGTGCAAGGCATGCCAGTGTGATGTTGACAGTTTCCTCACATAGGAGTGTATCTTGGTGTGTATGTGTGTGTGTGTGTGTGTGTGTGTGTGTGTGTGTACTACAGGATATTTATGAAAAGCCAAGAAGCTACAACAGAGTTAAAGAAGTTTTGAAAGTAAATGTATCTTTTCATTGTAATCAGTTCTATATATGTGTATTATTTAATTTGTAAATATAGAGAAATTTTGCTGATATCTTATATTGTCTTCTAATTTAACTTCATGGTTAAAAACAATTCTAGAACTCAAATCTTACAAATTTTTGAGACTTCTTTTCTGACCAAGACTGTGACTGTATTAGTTTTCTAGATTGTTACAATGAAGTACCATGAATGAGGCAACTCAGATGCCAGAAATTTACTTTCCTGAAATTCAGAGAGTCTGAAGTCTGAGATCAGTCTGTCACTAGGCTTATGTTCTCTAAGTCTAGTAGACTGGAGCCTATGGTCATCCACTGTACATGCCCATGGCCTGCCCTCCACTTCTTATGCCTACGGTTATGGCCTCATTTTACTTTTCAAAGACTCCTTCTCCAAATATAGTCACATTTCAAGGCAAGGGAGTCTTTTACCTGTTAATCTGTTGGTGGAGAGGAATGACACATTTCCCATAACACAGTGGGTCAACTTACTAAACTTTAGCTATACATTTGACAGGAATATATTATCATAGTTTGGTTCCACTCCTGTAATAATCACCATCACCAAAGCAACTAGAAGAGGAAAGGATTAATTTCAGCTGATAACTCCCAGGTCACAGTTCACCCCTGATGAAAATTGACACAAACTCAAGGCAGAAAGATGAAAGCAGAAACATTGAAAAATGCTACTTACTGGCTTGCTCCAATGACTTTCTCAGCTTACTCTTTCATACAACTCAAGACAACCTGACCAGAGGTGGCACTACTTCCAGTAGGCTGGGCCCTCTTACATTGCCCTACAAATCTGTTCACAGGCTAATTTTAATGGAGGCTGAAGACAGACAGTTCTCTAGGAAATCTCCAAGATTCTAGTACCAGATTAGGACTGCTAAGTCCTCCAGTCTCATGAACTGAACAACTACTGGATTCTTGTCCTTTCTGTCTATAGACAGCAATTGTTGGGCTACAAAGCCTGAAAGCTACTTTAAAATTCTATATTTTTTCACTCTCTCAGTTCTGTTTCTTTAGTGAACACTGACTAATATAGTTTGTAGAAACAGAAGTGGTTCTACAGAAACAGAATTCTAGAGATGAAAGTTTTAAGTATTTAAAACCCAGTCTACAATTTGGCAATGCCTATAGATTAAAGAATACCATAGTAGCATGAATAACATTGGAATCACATGGATTAAATATTTAAAGGGATAACTGTGAGGGACAAGAAATTCAATGACTTTAGACAATTTGTTGTAAAATAAGGAAAACAGTGATGGTGCCTGGTTCCTTCTATAAGCTCTGGACAAACTACACAACAAAAAAGCATAAGCTCACAGAAAAACATCAACTGGCTCTGGATTAGCCTAACAATCTAAAAGTTTCTAAGTGTGCCATGAAAGAACATCTCTCCAGTGGTCATAGAATTCAAGTTGCACAAACCCAAGCTCTCATTATGAAATTAGCTGTGAAAATTAAACTCCCAGCTTCAAAGAGTGTGTACTATTAAAGTAAGAACACTGATTGGTAATGACAGGAATCCTGCAATTCTAGGTGGAAATGTGTGGGAAGACCCTAATGACGTTGAAGACTTTGAACCCTCAGATTCTTAAGAGTTTTTTTCATCTGAGGAAGAAGTCTTTCTACCCTTAACAAATCATGCATCTTCATTGCCACCTCCCCACCCTGTAATATTGCCCATTCCACCATTGCCCCAGGTAATTATTCCTTCATTTCTTCTAAATCAGGAGAGACTTTTTCTGAAATAGATGCCAGGTGTAGCAATACTGATGTCTCTCAATGCCCAACAACAGTTACTTCTAGATTGACAAGGCTAAGCAAATTCCTGCTATAAGTGAGATAGAAACTGTAGTCCATGACAAAATTTACTACTACAGCACTAAAGAACGTAGTAAATGTACTAATTCATTCAAGCAGAAGTCTGTGGAATGTGTGTGGTCATGGATTTTAAGAGTGTGAGATAGTGAAAGGAACACAAAACTGGACCAAACCAAGCCCCTACTGAATGGAAATTTAAAAAAATAAATGTGTCAAAAGTTTGATTAGTTCAAGTACATTTTTTAAGACGGATGACTGAAAAGAGATTTTATGGGTCAGGGAAATTGCAATGCTAGGGAGAATATTGTATGTAAAACTTAATCCTCCTGTGCTGTTTAAATAAGAATGGCTCATATATCGGATACTTAGTCACCAGGGAATAGCACTACTTGAGAATGATTAGGAAGTGTGGCTTTGTTAGAGTTAGTGTAGCTTTGTTGAAAGAAGTGTGTTACAGTATATATGCTTTGAGATTTCATAAGTTTATGCCATACCCAGTTTTTCTCTCTAAGATACTACAGATCATCAAATAAAAATCTCAGTACCAGGTATGGATTACTTCTTTGTAAATTGTTGGTCAGTGATGTTCCATATGCAGCCCCCCCCCAAAAAAAAGTTTACAAGATATTGCCTAGAACTTGATGTAATCATTGCTAAAAACACCATATAGTTGAATGAAGAAATCAAGGACATGGAAAAATTAGGCTGGTACCAAAAACCTATAATCTTTATTTCAAACAGCTAAATTGTAGTGTTGGGAGGTGCTATGCACACTACTGAGGGAGAAAAGTTATCAAAACCCTGTGTACTGTTAATTGTCAGCTATAATAACAATCATCCTGGCAAGCTATGCACACTGGTGAAATAGCAAGACAGATGTTATACAAGTAACCAACTACTTTTTGGTTAGATTTCAAGCCAAGTATACAAAATAGAAGTCATACCTGCTGTGGCTAGAAATCTATGGCCAGTTAAGTTGTGGGCTCTCAGGAATAACCTAGTATTATCATTCTGCTAAACATAGTGGTAGTAATAAACATAGTAATAAACTAAAAATAGTCCCCTGAGTTTTTATCTTTATACCCAAAGATTAGTTCATCGCTCAAACATCATGAGAGAAACTCTTTTTTGTGGTAGACAATTAATTAGAACATTGTGTAATTAGAACATTGTCCAATAATTAGACAAACTACAGAAAATAAAAAACTACAGAGGGCTCAGCTCTTTTTTTTTTTTTGAGAAATACAAAAGAAAGCGTTATTGGGCTATACAACGTCTAATCTATAGTTTACAGAAAGTATCTAATTTTATAATTTTTTTCTCAAATCATAATTAATTCACACACGGGTTATAAACACAAAAAGGTAGGATTTGGGGAAGGGAATGACACTGGAGTGTGGGTGTTCAAGGGGAATACAGATATCTTCAGAACCGGGTATTGGCTGGGTGAAGGTTCAGGGGACAAGTCACTATGACTCTCCCTAAGACTTGCTTGTCCTTATCTAAGTTGGTATTGTCTGCCAAGGCTACGTATTTACAAGGTCTATGACTACTCAGGCTTATAAATTTCCACAAAAGCTGCCTGTTGACCTTAGCTTATAACCATCTGTTTCAATGTTTTTCCACTGAGATCCAAGACTTGGTGTTAGTATACATGTATGGCAGGCCTATTGCTGATTTTAGGCCTATGGCTGATTTTAGGCTTACCTTGTGTAAGCAGGGCTGCCCCTGACATCTCCTCCCTTCTCTAAGTATAGAAGGGCTGTGGCAATTCTAAACTTGCGAAGGCGGGGAAAGAGGCCTGACCTCCAGTATTTGAAGGGGAACTTGTAATGGCTCCCGTCCCCCTGTCGTCCAGTGAGGCATGAGGGCCATACCCGTCCCGATGTCTTTTTCCTGGAGAGGGGATACTTTTGACATCAACCCCTATCCAGTCAGGCTTGTCCCTCAGGGAACCCAGATAGATATTTTTATCTTTTATTTATATTCCCTTGCAGTGCTTAGCCTCGCAGCCTAAGCAAGAATTCAGATCGCCTGACAGAGGGGGTTCTGGGTGGCCCCTCTCTGCCTGGTCTAGGGGTGGAAGTACCCTCTTTTAGGTTGGGTGGAGATGGGTTTTGGAAACACCCTGTATAAAGTAACAACCTCATCTTGAGTCTTGTGGTCCTCCATAGCTAACTTATGATAATGTATCTGAGTAGGTTTTGCTACCAAATTATTTATCTGTTGTATCACAGAGTTAGTCTGCCTATATGAGGGCCAGGGACCAGCAGAAAAAAGCAAAAATAACCCAAATAATGGTCCCAAGATGGAAGGAAATAGGGTTGACAAATTGGAGAGGCTGCAAACCAATTCTTGTACCAGCACTCATCTGTCTCTTTCTCTCTGATTTTTCTTAGGGCCTTCACTACCTATTTCGTGCTCTCTTTAACCCTCCTTGTCTTGTCTATGTAAAGGCAACCTTCTTCTTTGAGGGTTGTACACAGTCCAGAGCTGTATACAGCCTATTCTATTGTACTAGAGTGAATCAAGTCCAATAAGGATCTTTGCGATATTAGGAGGTCTCTTCAGACAGCGAAACGAGGGATTTCTTCAGATTAGTGATGTCAATCTCTAGCTGTTTGATG